AAAAAAAACTGTAGAAATTAGCGGAATTATATTGATTCAGGCTTCATAACTGACAGTTACGGTGTAAAACAAACTACGCCCAAAATTTTGTTCTAAACAGTTATCGCATGCTTGCCCCATTTCTACTCAAAGTTTTCATGTCGTTCTTTTGGCATTAAACGTATGGGTGAAATGATTTCATTGATCAAAAGATCTTAGAAAGTCTGAGGACTTATTAACAACCTAATTTAGCTATTCCCCATACAGAAAAAAGGGATATCCTACCTGTCGCAACAGCCTGAGACCTTCGTCCATCATAATATTGTTGGGAACGATCCGTCTCCTCACTTGATGTAGATGTGGCTGGAGAAAGCGAATGCATAGAAGGTGCAGGGGTCCATCTAGAGTGAATTTTTTAGCCTCATAATCTAAAAATTGAAGCAAAAATAGGATTACCTGTTAGGAAGCGCTGGACGTCGGTGGACATCGGAAGCTGGCGCTGTACGAGGTGATGACGGTAGTCTCGGAGTTCTACTTCTTTCATTCCTAGACAACTCACATTTTCTCAACGAACAAAAAAAATCCTATTTTCTCACCATGGCAAAAACGTCTCGGGAGAAATAATCGGCCGATTTCTTCCAGTGTGCCCTGCCATGTCAGTTGTTTGTTGAAGTTTCTTCATCAGGGTGTCGTTCTGATGCATGATTTCCATCTGTAGAAAACGTCGCTTTTGAGCAAAAAGTGGCTGCGAAGACATTGGTCTTTGCTCCGTAAGCGTTACAGCTCTTATCTCCGCTTTATCTGTGTTAGTTCTATTGATTTCGGGGCATATGATGCATACTGACAATAAAGAGAGAGAGTTGCGAGCGTGTTTGCTAAACTAAGAGAAGATCATAAGAATTGAGTTGGTGCATTGCTGTTGACGTCTTTTTTGGAATTTTTCAATTCTCAGGTTCACCGGAAGTTTACTAGGACAAGCAAAATTTGCAGCGGTTCCGTAGGATTTTGTCTATTATTGCAAAAGTGGACGTAAGAACTTCCGTAGGATCTTAGAATGTTTGAAAACGAAAGCTTCCGCAGACTTCCCGGAAAACGCTGCGGAAATTCGAAAAATGCCAGCGTTCCGCAGCATTTTGACCTGCCAGTACTTCCGCAAACTTCTGAATATGTTGTCCCTTACAATGTTGTTTCGCCACCAACTAGAGCGCATGGTCGAACTGTCATCAGTAGTGCAGAGAGTGGTTGAGTCTCTCAGTCAGTAAAATAAGGTTTA